TGCCCCACCTGCCCTGAATGATGCGTCGACACTGTATGTAATGTCCATTAATTGTGGTCAACATGCCAGTTGAGTGCAGTGGTTTCTAGAACCTGAGAGGGGATAAAAATGTTATCCCCTCTCAGGTTCTTGAAACCATTGCACTCAACTGGCATGTTGACCAAAATTACAATTTTAGAAACGTTAGATGGATTTATTGGTACAGCTCAATAGGATTCTGCCTTCATTGTCCAATCCTACAGTAGTATCATTATATCCCAAAAAGCACGAGAGAAACCCATCAGAACTGAACTACGCCTTTGTCCCGGAAGTAAAGCATCCACAATGTCTGCTGTCCTGACATACACAACATATCACGATTAGCTGGGAGGTTTTGAAAGTGCAGGGTCATGCAAGTACTTCTCAAACTATTGTGCCTCATTACTAAAGTTATTTACATAATACAAAAGGAGGGGACTTTAATCCTAGGATTGAACGCGAGTAACAATAGTTTGTCCATGTGTTCCTCCTATTCAAAAGTAGCCTAGACGAGATAATATAATATGCCATTTAGCAGACGCTTTTATCCAAAGCGACTTACAGTCATGTGTGCATACATTTTTACGTATGGGTGGTCCCGGGGATCGAACCCACTACCCTAGCGTTACAAGCGCCGTGCTCTACCAGCTGAGCTACAGAGGATCACCAGATAGCTGCTATAGCTACACAGATTCTGAAGTGAGTTATTCCTCGATTCGTCAGTCTAACAAAAGTACAAAAAATACCCATTGCCATATACCCTCAAAAGAAATGACTAAAATTCTCATTAGTACTAATTTCCTGTTTGTTTACATGTTAATAAAAAGTCAATTTTGTGGATTCAGAAGCAAAGAGCGAAAATAGCACAATTCACCTTTCATTAAGCTTGAACAACTATTACATATTGCCATGGGAGAAATAATCAGGTTCACTGTCCCAAGTTTCAATTCAAACTACACTGCTCAAAAAAATAAAGGGAACACTTAATCAACACATCCTAGATCTGAATGAATGAAATAATCTTATTAAATAGTTTTTTCTTTACATAGTTGAATGTGCTGACAACAAAATCACACAGAAATTATCAATGGAAATCAAATTCATCAACCCATGGAGGTCTGGATTTGGAGTCACACTCAAAATTAAAGTGGAAAACCACACTACAGGCTGATCCAACTTTGATGTAATGTCCTTAAAACAAGTCAAAATGAGGCTCAGTAGTGTGTGTGGCATCCACCCAGACCTGGACTAAAGCATCCGCCAACTCCTGGACAGTCTGTGGTGCAACGTGGCGTTGGTGGATGGAGCGAGACATGATGTCCCAGATGTGCTCAGTTGGATTCAGGTCTGGGGAACGGGCGGGCCAGTCCATAGCATCAATGTCTTCCTCTTGCAGGAACTGCTGACACACTCCAGCCACATGAGGTCTAGCATTGTCTTGCATTAGGAGGAACCCAGGGCCAACCGCACCAGCATATGGTCTCACAAGGGAAGGGGTCTGAGGATCTCATCTCGGTACCTAATGGCAGTCAGGCTACCTCTGGCGAGCACATGGAGGGCTGTGCGGCTCCCCAAAGAAATGCCACCCCACACCATGACTGACCCACCACCAAACCGGTCATGCAGGAGGATGTTGCAGGCAGCAGAACGTTCTCCACGGCGTCTCCAGACTCTGTCACGTCTGTCACATGTGCTCAGTGTGAACCTGCTTTCATCTGTGAAGAGCACAGGGCGCCAGTGGCGAATTTGCCAATCTTGGTGTTCTCTGGCAAATGCCAAACGTCCTGCACGGTGTTGGGCTGTAAGCACAACCCCCACCTGTGGACGTTGGGCCCTCATACCACCCTCATGGAGTCTGTTTCTGACCGTTTGAGCAGACACATGCACATTTGTGGCCTGCTGGAGGTCATTTTGCAGGGCTCTGGCAGTGCTCCTCCTGCTCCTCCTTGCACAAAGGCGGAGGTAGCGGTCCTGCTGCTGGGTTGTTGCCCTCCTACGGCCTCCTCCACGTCTCCTGATGTACTGGCCTGTCTCCTGGTAGCACCTCCATGCTCTGGACACTACGCTGACAGACACAGCAAACCATCTTGCCACAGCTCGCACTGATGTGCCATCCTGGATGAGCTGCACTACCTGAGCCACTTGTGTGGGTTGTAGACTCCGTCTCATGCTACCACTAGAGTGAAAGCACCGCCATCATTCAAAATTGACCAACACATCAGCCAGGAAGCATAGGAACTGAGAAGTGGTCTGTGGTCACCACCTGCAGAACCACTTCTTTATTGGGGGTGTCTTGCTAATTGCCTATAATTTCCACCTGTTGTCTATTCCATTTGCACAACAGCATGTGAAATGTATTGTCAATCAGTGTTGCTTCCTAAGTGGACAGTTTGATTTCACAGAAGTGTGATTGACTTGGAGTTACATTGTGTTGTTTAAGTGTTCCCTTTATTTTTTTGAGCAGTGTATATATAGACACACTGAACAAAAATATAAACTACATTTTCAATTATTTAACTGAGTTACAGTTCATAAGGAAATCAGTCAATTGAAATAAATAAATTATGCCCTAATCTACGGATTTCACACAGCTGGGCAGGGTTACAGCCATAGGTGAGCCTAGGAGTTCATAGGCCCACCCATTGGCGAGCCCGGCCCAACCAATCAGAATGAGTTTATTACAAAAGTGATTTATTACAGACAGAAATACTCCTCAGTTTCATCAGCTGTCCGGGTGGCTGGTCTCAGATGATCTGCAGGTGAAGAAGCCGGATGTGGGATCCTGGGCTAGCGTGGTTACACGCGGTTGTGAGGCCGGTTGGATGTACTGCCAAATTCTCTAAAATGACGTTGGAGGCAGCCTATGGTAGAGAAATGAGCTGTGCACTTTGGGTTGTTGTGCAGTTGGAAGGTGAACCTTCACGCCAGTCTGAGGTCCTGAGCAGGTTTTCATCAAGGTGCTCGCTGTACTTTTGCTCTGTTCATCTTTGCCTCAAACCTGACTAGTCTCCCAGTCTCAAGGATGGCCAATTCTTGGGCCGACTCTTTTCTCCGTGTATATCAATAATCAATGATGTCGCTCTTGCTGCTGATGACTCTCAGATCCACCTCTTAGCAGACAACACCATTTTGTATACATCTGGCCCTTCATTGGACACTGTGTTAACAAACCTCCAAACGAGTTTCAATGCCATACAACACTCCTTCAGTAGCCTCCAACTGCTATAAAACACTAGTAAAACTAAATGTATGCTCTTCAATCGAACGCTGCTGGCACCCGCCCACCCGACTAGAATCACTACTCTCGACGGGTCTGACCTAGAGTATGTGGACAACTACAAATACCTAGGTGTCTGGTTAGACTGTAAACTCTCCTTCCAGACTCACAATCCAAAGTTAAATCTAGAATCGGCTTCCTATTTCGCAACAAAGCCTCCTTCACTCATGCTGCCAAACATGCCCTCGTAAAACTGACTATCCTACCGATCCTTGACTTCAGCGATGTCATTTACAAAATAGCCTCCAACACTCTACTCAGCAAATTGGATGTAATCACAGTGCCATCCGTTTTGTCACCAACGCCCCATATACTACCCACCACTGTGACCTGTACGCTCTTGTTGGCTGGTCCTCACTACATATTCGTCGCCAAACCCACTGGCTCCAGGCCATCTATAAATCACTGCGAGGCAAATCCCCGCCTTATCTTAGCTCATTGGTCACCATAGCAACACCCACCCGTAGTATGCGCTCCAGCAGGTATATCTCACTGGTCATCCCCAAAGCCAACACCTCCTTTGGCCGCCATTCCTTCCAGTTCTCTGCTGCCAATGACTGGAACGAACTGCAAAAATCTCTGAAGCTGGAGACTTATCTCCCTCACTAACTTTAAGCATCAGTTGTCAGAGCACCTTACCAATCACTGCACCTGTACACAGCCCATTTGAAATTAGCCCACCCAACTACCTCATCCCCATATTATTTATTTCGCTCATTTGCACCCCTAGTATCTCAATTTGCACATCATCTCTTGCACATCTATCATTCCAGTGTTAATACTAATTGTAATTATTTTGCACTATAGCCTAAATATTTAATTTAATACATTTGCTAATATTTCAAAAAAAAACATTTTCGCTTTATGAGGTATTGTGTGTAGATTGCTGAGGATTTTTTAAATATTTAATCCATTTTAGAATAAGGCTTTAACGTAACATGTGGAAACATAGTCAAGTGGTCTGAATACTTTCCGAAGGCACTGTAAATGTTTATTCAGTATAGATAATCTGTGAAGAGGTACACTCACCATTTGATTTTCAGGTAAAACCATTAAGACTGAAAGGCAGCAGTTTCTCCTCAAATTATGCAGTAGATTACCACACCATTTAGGGTTCCTGCTTTCCCCACTAGGTTCCTTTCAAAGTTAAGTGCTCAAAAACTTGTGGTTGTAAGGTATTTTATTCAAACATGTTCCAAATAAAGATGAACATTAAGATGACATTTTCATAAAAATCTAACTCACACATTCATGGCAAAGTGCCACAGACGACAACACCATAAATATTTATTTTCAGTACCGTATAAACATTGTGCAAATTATAAATACATCTTCCCTCTATAACATTCAGAATGCCCTTGAATTTGTAAACTATTGAACAAGCAACAGCTGAATCCTCATTAACCAGGTGATGAGGTGCTCCATTAGATGTACGGACAAAACAGGACTATCAGAGACAAACATACTTCAACATCCAGGGCCCTGTTCAGGAGGGTGTAACATTACAGAATGTTCAGATAATATATTCCTATCTAGAACAGATAGTCTGAGGTAGAATAGGTGCTCGTGAATCAGCTCTTTCCATTACCTTTCCATCGGCAACATTCAGAACATGTCACCTCACTGAATACACCCCAGGTCTCCTCCAGGAGGGCCATTCCTGTATAACGCTGCCACCTAGGGGGTACATTGATTCTCTGTTCCACTACACATTGGAGAAGGCCGTCAGCAGTGATCCAGTCAGGACAACACAGGAGGCTAATATGAAGATTAAACAGTTTACCAAGCCCTGAAAAGACAAGCATTAGTTAATACAAATATATGATGGCATGTCACACTGGAAACAGTGTCAAATTGGGTTGGCACAGGGTATCCATGATGCGAGCTGAATGGTGTTGTAAAAGGGGGCGTGCATAATTAGAGCAATGCGATGTAAAATATCCGACATGGGGTAAGCTAATCAGAATTAAATTAGATGATACACTGAATCAGCTGGTGTCAAAAAGGGATGGGATGAGCAGATACTTCAGAGTAAATGGGCAAAATCAGCACAGCAAGATTTGTTTTACATTTGGAAATTCTAGGGCAAAATCTTAATATTTAGAAAATTAAAAGCGGAGCTTGATTTTGTCTGCCTGCAAAATTACATAAAAAGGTTGAGAGAGTTCATACTTCAATTTCAGTAATTGTCAAGTGTGCCTTGTTCCCAGAAGCTGAGGCTGTTTCTTAGACTAATCAATCCACTAAATTTGCCGGGATACTTACTTTGACTTCTTTGAAAACCAGACTTCCCCACAGAGCTGCGACTAGACCATTACCCTAGAGGGAAAGAGGAAAATATTTTGAATTATGTTAATTGAATTATGTTTATTGAATGATAGGATGACTTACACCTTCTCATGTTTACAAAGCACCATTGTCCGGTTCTCTCCATTTAGAATTACTAGGAATGGTAGCACATTCAAGAAACTGACAAATGGCACAAATTATATTCCGTAAGAGGATATGACCGAATCTCAATCTCATAACCTATACACAGACATAAGCATGTGTGCTACACAAAGTATGAGTAATCTAGCAATGATACACAACATGACCAAAAGTATGTGGACACCTGCTTGTTGAACATCTCGTTCCAAAATCATGGACATTAATATGGAGTTGGTCCCCCCTTTGCTGCTATAACAGCCTCCACTCTTCTGGGAAGGCTTTCCACTAGATGTTGGAACATTGCTGTGGGGACTTGCTTCCATTCAGCCACAAGAGCATTATTGAGGTTGGGCACTGAGGTTGGGTGATTAGGCCTGGCTCACAGTCGGCGTTCCAATTCATCCCAAAGGTATTCGGTGGGTTTGAGGTCAGGGCTCTATGCATTCCAGTCAAGTTCTTCACAACCTATTTTTGTATGGATCTTGCTTTGTCCACAGAGGCATTTGTCATGCTGAAACAGGAAAGGGCCTTCCCCAAACTGTTGCCACAAAGTTGGAAGCACAGAATCGTCTAGAATGTCATTGTATCCTGTAGCGTTAATATTTCCCGTCACTGGAACAAAGGGGCCTAGCCCGAACCATGAAGAACAGCCCCAGACCATTATTCCTCCTCCAACACACTTTACAATTGGCACTATGCATTCGGGCAGGTAGCATTTCCTGGTATCCGCCAAACCCAGATTAGTCCGTCAGGCTGCCAGGTGAAGCGTGATTCATCACTCCACAGAACGCGCTTCCACTGCTGCAGAGTCCAATGGCAGTGAGCTTTACACCACTCTAGCCGACGCTTGGCATTGCGCATGGTGATCTTAGGTTTGTGTGCGGCTGCTCGGCCATGGAAACCCATTTCATTAAGCTCCCAACTAACAGTTGTGCTGACGTTGCTTCCAGAGGCAGTTTGGAACTCGGTAGTGCGTGTTGCAACGCGCTACAGCACTCGGCGGTCCCGTTCAGTGAGCTTGTGTGGCCTACCACTTACCGGCTGAGCCATTGTTGCTCCTAGACAATTCCACTTCACAATAACAGCATTTACAGTTGACCGGGGCAGCACTAGCAGGGCAGAAATTTGACCAACTTACTTTTTGGAAAGGTGTCATCCTATGACAGTGCCACGCTGAATTTCACTGAGCCCTTAAGGCCATTTGACTGCCAATGTTTGTCTATGGAGATTGCATGGCTGTGCACTACATTCTATATACTTGTTAGCAACTGGTGTGTGGCTGAAATAGCAGAATCCACTAATTTGAAGGGTGTCCACATACTTTCGTATATATAGTTTATGTCAGGAGGCATCCCAGAAGTGTACTTACTGCACTGACAATGGGATAGGTGACCACGGCACTAAGGTAGTTGTTAGCCAGAAACCAGCAGTAACTGGCCAACGTCCACATCAGACCTGACAAAAAGCCTGAACATAGGAGGAGATTTAGCGACACCCTACTTAACATTCTTTACAAAATCATATCATATTGTACATGGCATTATCAATCCCAGCCCAATTCTTTAACCAAGTGTTTCCCAACTTCGTTCCTCAAGTACCCCCAACAGTACATATTTATGTTGTGGCCCCGGACAAGCACACCTGATTCTACTTGTCAACTTATCATCAAGCCGATGACAAGTTGAATCAGGAGTTTTTGTCTGCGGCTAAAACAAAAATGTGTGCAGAGTTCAGGAAAGGGAGAGAATTAGAATGCATGGTGGTATTATTTTTGAGTGGAGAGTGAGCACCTGGCAGGATGGCTCTGGAGAACACCCTGGGTCTGTTCCTCATGGCTGCACAGTAGATGGAGAAATACACCATGCTGGTGAGGAAGATGCCACAGCACGTGGCAAACACATAGTCAAGATCTAGGGGGGGAAAGGACATTAGGTTGACGACAGAATTTATGTAAACTTAGCACATTGTTGTTGAGACCAAACCCTCTTCAGCATTACACATAGGCTACTGAGTTTAATGTGTGACTGGGTACTGTCTGTAGGACCCGCTAACCTAGCACCTCACCGTATAGACTGGCTCCGTAGTAGATGCTGTCGTGGACCGACACATGGCTTTTGATGTAGAGGATTGGAACAAAGGACGCCCCATACAACAGGCCTGCTACAACGGACAACAAGCAGCCTCTAAAGATGTCAAAAGGGTGGTAAGTGAGTTTCTATGACCACATAGAAAATTGCAAGACATGTAACTAAGTTATCTGTAATTTTCCATGTCTTGAGTAAGCCCCATGTCCAAAAGGCCAAGAACTTGTCAAGTCAAAAGGAGTAAGCATGTCCAAACATGTAACTAGAGCCAAAATCAATTGACTTAAGCCCAGCTCCAACTATTCAATTGTAAAAGCAAAGAGAGCATGAGTGATTAAGAGGTGTACTCACACACAGCGTTTTCTCTTTTCTCCTATGACATCCACCCAGCACTCCGAAGGCCCATAGCCACCAGAATTCACAGTCTTAAGTAGACACCAAAATAGTCATTAGTCAGTTGAGTACACGATATGTCAGCACAGCTGTTACCCACTGACATCTCAATGCAAACGCTAAAAGACATCTCTGGAGTTGTGACAAGTCTATCCTGTCTAACTTTCACCTCACTGTTATTTCTAGAGAGCTGTTACAATAAGTGTCATGAATGACAACATACTTTTTTAGAAAAACCAGTCATTAGCTGCTATGTGTGGTAATGTCTTGGGCATTATAGCTGTTGTCTCGCTGTGAAGTTGCTGTGGTATGTCGTTTGTGGTATGTGTTGTGGTATGCTTTCCCTCTGAGATAAGTTAATTTATTGAACTGAAGCGAAAGCATTTAGACTACGAAAACGTCAAGCACACTTACCCTGTTAATCAGTAAGGTGGTTGATTCTGAATGTGGAAGTTCTCCAACATTAGTCTTCACAAAGAAATAGATGAGTCCACTGGAAACAAAATAAGAAATTGTAAATGCCATTTGATTGTCATGAGAGCTTCAAATACTAAAATAATGACCAAATTGACCAATGACAAGAATATTATTCTGAGGTATTGGATTAAGTGCTTTCATGATTAATTACCTCAACAAGCACAAACCAACACCACAGTAGTTCAATACCGGTCTGGCAACATCCTGAGCTTCAATACCAAACCATCCAAACCTGTTGAAAAAAAGATTTCAATTACCTCTGTCTGACGCAATTGCTGTTCTAAGAACATATTCCCCTTTGAAATGGTATTGCTTGGAGACTAAATATGAATTGCCGTTTCAAAGTGGAAAATGAGGACTTACTGAAAATGTTTGTTTTCAGAAGTCTTTCATATAAGAATCAGTGCGATTAACTTACCTTGAACTTACCCAGCCCATCAGCAAACTGCTGGATCCCGAAATACAAATTCCAAGTCCAAGTCCAATGGATTTTACTATGGGGACGACTGTTATACTGCCTGTAAACAACATTCATGAAAACATTTCAGTAGTTCGGAGTGTAGGCCCAATCCATTTCTCTGTGTGAAGGTTACAGTGCAGCTTGAAAGTTGCCGTCATACCTGTGGCCCAGATTGCTCCTCCCAGCATTGCCAACGGATGGAATTTGGGAGAGCCGAGTATCAAGTCGCCGATCATCGAAACTACCCATATGGATGCGCAGTACACCCACTGGAAAAACATACCTGAAGATTTTTTTTTAAGAATGCTAAATCTTACAAGATGGTCAAAAGAGAGAAATGTCCAAATATGCACAATTATGATTTTTTTCATGGATCTCTTACCATCACCAGTGTCTATCCTTTTGACAGGGACAAAGTTGCTGCCATACAAGATCACAGCGATAATGTTTGCAACAAAGCCATAGGCCATTTCAGTCATGTTTGATGAACCAGGTAAGGGTAATCTTCTTGTTACGTCCATGGTAATACTTTCGACATGCACATCTGAAGAATGTTACTGAATTTAGTCAAGAGCCATTTTATCAGTGTCAAGTACTCCAGTAATATCCATTGACAAAAACATTGAGTGACAAGTTACATTAAAGAAACTACTTCAGATACATTTGTTTGACCATTGTAGGCTGGTTTTGAAAATGTTATTCTAGAATTGTAATCACATCATATGCCGCTGTTTAAATTAATCTGTAACAATTATGAGCCTTTAGCTACATACAGCAACATGAAGTAAACAGGAGCAAACTATTATTGTGTGGAAGATTGTTTAAGCCCTACATTTTCTTTCAAGGAAGCATGCATTGTGGATTTTCACCATCTCAGGCATATGTTTGCTAGCGCGTTGATGTAGGGTGCGTAGGTGCCATACCTTGTTCAACTTTCTCTGCTTCTGAGAAATTCCCCAGAGACCACATTGTGACAGCAATTAAGACTAAAAGTTTAAACATGTTTACATCTAGCATTTCTGCCACCATCAACACTAACTGGTTTCAAAACCTGCACAGATGATCATGTATTAAGGACAATTCTTGCTGTTCCACAACAGGGACTAATGCTGCAACAGCTGATACTAATTAGGATATGCAATCAATTATGCTGCTGGCCTTAACTTTGGGTGTGTTCTTCAGTGGTGATACTGATGATTTGTCGGCACAGATGGTTTGTTTACATAGCAGGTTAGGATAATTAACGTGGCAGTTTAGGATAATTAACATGGCAGGTAAGGTTAATTAATGTGGCAGGTTAGGAGAACTAACGCAGCAGGTTAGGTGAATGAGGTTAAGGTTAGGAAAAGAGTAAGGGTTAGGCTTAGCGACAATGCTACAGTTGTCAACAACTGTTGTCCCCGACACTAGTTGGAGCTGTAGGCCTACTCCATCTAGCCACAACGGTAGAAATGTAAACAAACCATCTGTGGCTACAAATCATCAGTGAGCACGGTTACTTGCACACAATAATACGATTATTGTGGATAGTCAGATTAATATAATAGTTTTTTTTTTTTACATTTATATGCTTTGCAAGAACAATGATTTCCCTAATAAGTTTACATGGTCACATCTGAAATCAGGGTACCTGATGGGACTTTAAAAAATGCAGAATATCGCCAATGAAAATAAACGTTCTACTACAGTGACCATGTTATTTATGCGTATGAAGTTTGTATGTGAAAACTATTTCTAAGATGCATACTTTCAGTTTTTCCGAACTCACTTCACTTCAGAATAAGAGGGAATCTGTCAGACTGTTAAATAGCCATCACTAGCCGGCCTCCACCCATTACCCTGCCCTGAATTTAGTCACTGTTAGTAGCCGGCTACCACCTGGTTACTCAACCCTGCACCTTAGAGGCTGCTGCCCTATGTACATAGACATGGAATCACTGGTCACTTTAATAATGGAACACTGGTTACTTTAATAATGTTTACATACTGTTTTACTCATTTCATATGTATATACTGTATTCTAATTTATTCTAGTCAATGCCACTCCAACATTGCTCGTCCTAATATTTATATATTGCTTAATTCCATTATTTTACTTTTAGATTTCTGTATATTGTTGTAGATTGTTAGATACTACTGCACTGTTGGAGCTAGGAACACAAACATTTTTCTACACCCGCAATAACATCTGATAAATATGTGTATATGACCAATAACATTTTATTTTATTTGATTAAGATGAAAATATGTGATAAGGATTGGTTAGGCTATTATTGTGACAAAAAAGAAAGTATCTTTGGGCCTACATGTATGACAGTGTTTATTACATGCACGAATGTACATGTATCAATTCTTGCAATATAAGTCTGTTTTCTCATCTGATTCATCTGTTTTGGCAGAAGTCCCTGTTCATTCTCTACTGCAGCAAAGCCACCCCTTCCTCTCTTGCAATGACACACTGACATAAGGGATAACCACAGACTCTCTATATTGCGTTCTGATTTTGGACCACACTTTTTTCCTGTTGAAAATGAGTATCGGAAGTTAGCCTATGCGTCGCCGCTGTCCTTATCCTTACCTGAGCTCGGTGCAAAGACGAACAGATAACCATGTCGGATCATAAGTTCTAATGTTAAATGTTTACGTCCCGGAGACATCAAAAAGTCTCTCATTCTTTGGTCGTGTTATTCTTTTCTGAGGATACCAAACTACGGACTACTTCGGAAGTATCCCCAGTGAAAAGGAATTTGATAAAAGTTGGATATTCGTTGCTGCACCAGGATAAACAGTTGGACAGACTCCGGTACAAGAGGAATCGGGGACTATACACTCTGATGTTTGATGATGATGAACGATCGCAAACAGCCGACTCACCAACCGGTGCCAACGGCGAATCTGTATTACCGTCGGTGGTTCCGACGTGGTCCAATGTGGTGTACATAACACTGTCAAGGCACATTAAACCAGCTATTATAAGGGGAACAGTGAGACCAAAACTAAGGAGAAAAGCCAGGAGAACCAAACCCAAAGACGGATTTAAGCAGGTAAAATTAAGAAAAATTGGCACTTTGGAGTGGGAGGAATGGAGACAAAAGCATACTAATGGAATTGAAATATCTTGAAAACAAATTAACACCATAAATAATGCAACACGGGATGTAAGCTAAAATGTAAAGATGCAAACAGAACCTCACATCAGTTCTATCTGAATACACAGTGTGAGGGCACTGCCGTGGTTCAGCAAAGAGGACATTAGTGCCATACACTTTCTTGCTGATGGTAAAGATACACACATTCGTGAGGTGTCCCATAAGGAATCTATCCCCCTCTTGCTGTTTTCGCTTTCCATTTTGATAGGATCCTGGGACTGAATCGGAGCGTACCCGCTGACAGCAGGAAGTTTCCGTTTGTACAAGATAGGCCCATTGTCCACCGACTGAGTGACCTGCATTCATATCTCAACATATTGGCCTCTAGCCTATGTCAAAATACATGTGCTATCATTCCGTAACCTTTGGAATAATTAATACGTAGGCTATTGGGCATTCAATGCCTTCGGAAAGTATTCAGACGCCTTGACTTCTTCCACATTTTGTTAGGTTACAGCCTTACTCTAAAATTGATGAATTAAATAAAACTCCTCAGTAATATACACAGAATACCCCATAATGACAAAGCGAAAACAAGTTTTTAGACATTGTATTACAAATAAAAAACAGAAATGCCTTATTTACATAAGTATTCAGACCCTTTGCTATGAGACTTGAAATTGAGCTCAGGTGCATCCTGTTTCCATTGGTCATCCTTGAGATATTTCTAAAACTTGATTGGAGTCCTCCTGTGGTAAATTCAATTGATTAGACATGATTTGGAAAGGCACACACCTGTCTATATAAGTCCCACAGTTGACAGTGCATGTCAGAGCAAAAACCAAGCCATGAGGTCGAAGGAATTGTCCGTAGAGCTCCGAGACAGGATTTTGTTGAGGCACAGATCTGGGGAAGGGTACCAAAAAATGTCTGCAGCATTGAAGGTCCCCAAGAACACAGTGGCCTCCATCATTCTTAAATGGAAGAAGTTTGGAACCACCAAGACTCTTCCTAGAGCTGGCTGCCAGGCCAAACTGAGCAATCCGGGGAAAAGGGCCTTGGTCAGGGACGTGACCAAGAACCTGAAGGTCACTCTGACAGAGCTCTAGCGTTCCTCTGTGGAGACGGGAGAAACTTCCAGAAGGACAACCATCTCTGCAGCACTCCACCAATCAGGCCTTTATGGTAGAGTGGCCAGACGGAAGCCACTTCTCAGTAAAAGGCACATGACAGCCCGCTTGGAGTTTGCCAAAAGGCACCTAAAGACTCTCAGACCATGAGAAACAAGATTCTCTGGTCTGATGAAACGAAGATTGAACTCTTTGTCCTGAATGCCAAGCGTCACGTCTGGAGTAAACCTGGCACCATCCCTACGGTGAAGCATGGTGGTGGCAGCATCATGCTTTGGGGATGTCTTTCCATGGCAGGGACTGGGAGACTAGTCAGGATCGAGGCAAAGATGAACGGAGCAAAGTACAGAGAGATCCTGGATGAAAACCTGCTCCAGAGCTCTCAGGACCTCAGACTGGGGCGAATGTTCACCTTCCAACAAGACAACGACCCTAAGAACACAGCCAAGACAACGCAGAAGTGGCTTCGGGACAAGTCTCTGAATGTCCTTGAGTGGCCCAGACAGAGCCCGGACTAGAACCCGATCAAACATCGCTGGAGAGACCTTAAAATAGCTGTGCAGCGACGCTCCCCATCCAACCTGACAGCTTGAGAGGATCTGCAGAGAAGAATGGGAGAAACTCCCCAAATACAGATGTGCCAAACTTGTAGCGTCATACCGAAGAAGACTCGATGCTGTAATCACTGCCAAAGCTGCTTCAACAAAGTACTGAGTAAAAGGTCTGAATACTTATGTAAATGTAATATTTCAGATTTACTTTCTATATAAATTAGCATAAATGTCTAAAAACCTGTTTTTGCTCTGCCATTATGGGATATTGTTAGTAGATTGATGAGGGGAAAAATGATTTAATCCATTTTAGAATAAGGATGTAACGTATCTGTCAAGGTAGATGTAGGTGGGTGTGGGTGGAATCAGGCGCAGGACGCAGTACGTTAGTCCAACAGACTTTAGTGATGCACAGCAAAAACAAACACGAAAGAAATGCCCTGAGGCAAAAGCTCAGCACGTAGGCGAAAATACAAGCGCACAAACAGGTGCGACAAAATACTCCCAAAACTAAGGAGCAAAGTAGCTCAACCGAGCAAACAGTAATAATCCAGCCTACTGGCACGACAGTAAAACAATCACACACAACACTAGACAAACACAACGAGAACTTAAAGGACACTAATTACACTAAACGATAACAGGTGTACAACAATCAGACAAAAGCAAACGAACATAGAAACATGCAACGGTGGCAGCTAGTATTCCGGAGACGACGAATGCCGAAGCCTGCCCGAGCAAGGGAGAGAGGCAGCCTCGGCCGAAACCGTGACAGTACCCCCCCCTTGACTCGCGGCTCCAGACGTGCGCCGACTCCGGCCTCGGGGACGACCAGGAGGACACGGAGCAGGGTGCGTCGGGTGCCCCCGATGGAATTCCGTCAGGAGAGACGGGTCCAAAATGTCTCTCCTCGGCACCCAGCACCATTCCTCCGGGCCGTACCCCTCCCACTCCACTAGATAATCTCGAGGACGCAGGGGAAGTGGAAGGCCGTATGTATCCTTGTCTCAGAGATTCGTCTATGTACGTCTCCATAGCTCTCTTCTCCTCCTGAGACAGAGGATACACATGGCTCCGTGGGAGCGCAGCTCCTGCCTGGAGGTCTATCGCACAATCTCCCTGCCTATGGGGAGGCAACTGCGTCGCCCTCGACTTACTGAACACAATAGCCAAATCCCCATACTCAGGGGGAACGTGCAATGCGGGCACCTGGTTTGGACTCTCCACCGAGGTAGCCCCTATGGAAACGCCTAAACATCGACCCACACACTGGGCAGACCACTCCATCAGAGCCCTCTCCTGCCACGAAATCGATGGGTTATGGGTACTCAACCAGGGCATGCCCAGCACCACCGGATACGCAGGCGAGTCGATCAGAAATAGCTGGATCATCTCCTGATGACCCCCCTGCGCACACATCCTAAGTGGCGCAGTGACCTCCCTGATCAAGCCCGCACCCAACGGACGGCTATCTAGGGCATGAACGGGGAAGGGAACGTCCACAGGGAGAAGGGGAATCCCTAAGGCTAAACAAAACTTTTTATCAACAAAATTCCCAGCCGCGCCTGAATCTACCAGCGCCTTATGCTGGGAATGAGGTGCTACCTGTGGAAAACGCACAGATATACAGAAATGTGCAACAGAGAGCTCTGGGTGAGTGGGGCGCCTACTCACCTGGAAGGACTCCCCAGTGCGGGACCTGTCATTCTCTCCCCGAGGAGGCCATCCCCAGCACCTAGCTGTGTGTCCTCCCCGACCACAGTTGTTGCAGGAGATGGACCCCCTTGTAAGCCGACCCCTCCTCTCTCTAGCGCCAGCGCCCCCGAGCTCCATGGGGCACGGCTCGGAGGCGCTGGAGGGTGAAATGGACGGACCCCCCTCGGAACGTCCGCGGGAAGCTAGCAGGGTATCCAGCCTGATGGACATGTCGACCAACTGGTCAAACAAGAGGCTGGTGTCCCTACAGGCCAGCTCCCTACGGACGTCCTCGTGTAGACTACATCTGTAGTGATCGATGAGAGCCCGCTCATTCCACCCTGCATCCGCCGCTAGGGTACGGAACTCCAAGGCGAACTCCTGGGCACTCCTCTTCCCTTGCCGGAGGCCGACCAGACGCTCCCCCGCCGCTTTCCCCTCCGGGGGATGGTCAAACACCGCCCTGAAGCGGCGGGAGAACTCGTCGTAGGTGATGGTGTTAGCGTCGATCCTCCTCCACTCTGCGTTGGCCCATTCCAACGCCTTCCCGGAAAGGCAGGAGATCAGGGCGGACACACTCTCGTGTCCCGAGGGCGCCGGGTAAAGCTCCACCTGGAGAAGGAATCCCTGACACCCGGCCGTGGTCCCATCGTAGGCCCTCGGGAGCGAGAGTCGAACTCCTCGGGGTTCCGGAGCGGGAATGGGCTGAGTGGCCGATGGTGCGGGCAGGGAGGATGGCGGTGGAGGAGTCCCTCGGGTCTCCCAGCCTCGGATGGTGGTGATCACCTCCTGCAGTGCGGACCCCATCCGCAGGATCTGGTCATTCTGCTCACGGACCCTGTCCTCCAACGTCGCCTGTGCTGCTGCGGCTCCTGCTGATTCCATCGAGTAGGTGGTGTGATTCTGTCAAGGTAGATGTAGGTGGGTGTGGGTGGAATCAGGCGCAGGACGCAGTACGTTAGTCCAACAGACTTTAGTGATGCACAGCAAAAACAAACACGAAAGAAATGCCCTGAGGCAAAAGCTCAGCACGTAGGCGAAAATACAAGCGCACAAACAGGTGCGACAAAATACTCCCAAAACTAAGGAGCAAAGTAGCTCAACCGAGCAAACAGTAATAATCCAGCCTACTGGCACGACAGTAAAACAATCACACACAACACTAGACAAACACAACGAGAACTTAAAGGACACTAATTACACTAAACGATAACAGGTGTACAACAATCAGACAAAAGCAAACGAACATAGAAACATGCAACGGTGGCAGCTAGTATTCCGGAGACGACGAATGCCGAAGCCTGCCCGAGCAAGGGAGAGAGGCAGCCTCGGCCGAAACCGTGACAGTATCAAAATGTGGAAAAGGTCAAGGGGTCTGAATAGTTTCCGAAGGCACAGAAATTGGCACTTGACATGAAAAACTGTCAGATAATAAACCATTGTAATATTATACTGGCAAAGAGTTGGCCCTCACCTTTGCAGAATACTTATGTGAGCCTTTTATAGTCTTATAAGGCATTAATTATTAAAACATTACATTTCATTAACACATTTTCAATCATATCATATATTTTATTGGACCACTCTGTCAATTTGGTTATCTTGCTGTATAACTTACCTTTTTGAACAAAGAAGTACACTGTGCTACTACTAGACTTATTTACACTTCAATGTTAAGGTGACATTTTTATAGCATGTAGGCTATGTCATATCTATCTCTCCCCAAATCAGTATTCCAGGAATTGTGTAGCCAATGTAATATTATTAGGCCATGCATATATGTAAGCAGAAGTATCAGCCCTGGAGCTATAAAGCCTGCGAGTGCTAGCTCCTTTAGCCAGCAGAGCATGCAGCGGTCTGTGTCCTCATAAGTCTGTGGGAGAGACTAAGTATACAGAAACAGATGCAAATGCATAACACCATGATGTCAATCCTCAAAGAGTAGGATCTTATTCGTAGCCTTACACTGGCTATGTTTGGGTGTCAGCTGATGTTCTTTGTTCGGCCACCCTTGACCTGAATGATATCTGTAGTCCACATACGTACATTGTTTCCCTTTTGTGTTTTTGTAGTGTTTGTAATCTCCTCAACAACATTTACATTTACATTTTAGTCATTTAGCAGACGCTCTTATCCAGAGCGACTTACAGTTAGTGAGTGCATACATCATTTTTTTATACTGGCCCCCCATGGGAATCGAACCCACATCCCTGGTGTTGCAAACGCCATGCTCTACCAACTGAGCTACATCCCTGCCGGTCATTCCCTCCCCTACCCTGGACGACGGTGAGCCAATTGTGCGCCCATGACCCTTCATCCTCCTCATCATCAGTGTTGTATGCTAGTGTAGCAGTGGTGAATCAGTGCCCGTGTGATTACTAACCTTGTCGGATATGTGAAGATGCTCTTTAGCTCAACGGACTAACTGTGTAGACTTGAGATCAAAAGACTAACATAGACTTGGGTTGCACATACAACCTGGGTTCGACCTGGGATCCCCTCCTCATCCCACAGGTGGCCAGCCCTGCCCCGTGGTGCTGTGGGATGTTTCCCTCTTCCCAGGGAACAATGCAGTGGGCCAGTCCACTGTGAAGATGACGTGGGGGGAGTACCAGAACTCCCTCAAACAGAGGTGTTGACACAGAAACGTCACGCCCAAGCCTGACTCAGGCTGATCCAGCATTCACCATTACGAGTGGAGCAAACTGGCCCTGTTTGAATTCCTGTTGCAGGTACTGTATGATCACACACTTGTATGGTCTTTCAAATTAACTACAGTATTTAATGTCTCCAGAAGGAAGCTTGTCAAACTAGGAGCCTGTTGGGTTGAGGTACTTGGCATAGGACATCACTCCTTTGAGACAATTGAATCATGTTTGTTTACCTCCTATATACAGACGGCTGGACTGGAACAGGCCACCACCTGATGTGTGGAGACAAGGACTGTGTGGCACTGGCCAACATCATCCACAGGGGTCACAAACCCAGGCACTACCGTGACGAGGTCAACCTGGACTACAGACTACTGGAGGGAATGAAGGAGTGAGTAAACGTCAAAATAAAATGGAAGCATAGTGAATTCATTCAAATTGGCTCATTCATCCCCCTCCTCTCCCCTGTAACTATTCCCCAGGTCATTGCTGTAAATGAGAATGTGTTCTCAGTCAACTTAACTGGTAAAATAAAAATAAATGTCCAGAGAGGACATGTTATTAAAATAATTATTCCTTCATTATGTCAAGATCACAAGGTATTTATCTCATGATAACTAACTAACAAAAGTTGTTTTGTCGAGATCACAAGATAATTTTCTCATGATCACGACATAACAAAAATTACTTTGTCGAGATCATGAGATAAACTCTATAAATATTGATGATAGATTGACAGTATGGTTGATCACCGGTGGATCCGCGCATACATTTTTATTGATTGCTACACTAAGGGTGGTACATTTCATGCTGACATCATGCTTTAATTTGTGTTTGGAGCTCATTATCAGTTTATAAATTAGAATTTTAGCATGCTAAATGTCCATTACCTTGAGATAAGAGCTTGTGGGGGAGGTAATGAGGGAGATTTTTTAGTGGACTATGAGATAAAACTGAGTTAATCACAAACATATAGTTATAATTCTCTGTTGCTAGGCAAGAACTTAATTGGGTCATTTCACTGTGTGTGTGGGTGAAGTGGGAATCTGACCTAGGGTCGAATTGCTCGCTCTTACTTAAATCCATGGCTGTCCTACCTTATCAGAGACTGAAACCAGAATGTGGCCAACAAAGTGGAGGGAGAGCCAGGGTTGAACAGAGTTTAAACTAAACATGAGTGTTTTTGCAAGACAAGGGATTGATTGTATTACTATTGATTCTGAACTGAATGAAAGTCGAATTTAGCCGCCATCATAGACAAAGGAAGTGGGCGGAGCGATAAAGAGCGGGAAACTGAAGAGGGAGGGATTTTTAGTTAGGATGTGTGTGAATGGGACTATATAGAGGGAGAGAGAGAGAGAGAGAGGGGGGGGCTAATCTTGTCACGCCCTGGCTCTGGGGAGGCTTGTATGTTGAGCCAGGGTGTGAGTGTTCTTTGTTTTTCTAGTTCATGTATGTCTATGTTGGCCAGAGTGGTTCTCAATCAGAGGCAACGAGTGTCAGCTGTTGCTGGTTGTCTCTGATTGGGAACCATATTTAGACAGGCTGTGTTCCCACAGTTTTTGTGGGATCTTGTTCCAGTGTGGTTTGTGTTAGACCGAGGACGTCACGTTATCGTTTGTTGTTTTTGTTCGTGTAATCATAAAAAAAAAGTATGTTCGCCTTCAACGCTGCGCCTTGGTCCTCTGTATCCGACGATCGTGACAGAAGATCCCACCAAGACTGGACCAAGCAGCGTGTCCAGGAGCCATCGCCAGGGAGATCTCTAGCGGATCTCCTTCGGCTCCTCGACTGGGTCAAGCCGTGTGAGGAAGAGAGAGGCTGGACCTGGAAGCAGAAGGGCGAAAGTCTGGCGAGAGACATGGAGACCTGGTCCACGGGTAGGAGAGATGCCCAGAACATTTTTAGGGGGGGGCTCACGCCGTGGACGACGGGGCAGCAGGAGGCCGCCAGGTTACGGGAGTCACTGGTCACCAGGGGGAAAGAGGATGTAGAGGCACGGCGAGAGGTACTGGGGTGTGTTGCCAGTCCGGTCCGGTCTGTTCCTGATCCCCGCGTAGAGCCAGTGGTGTGTGTTCCCAGTACGGTCCGGCCTGCTCCTGCTCCCCGCACCAAGTCAGTGGTGCGCTTCGTCAGCCCGGTCCGGCCCGCTCCTGCTCCCCGCACCAAGTCAGTGGTGCGCTTCGTCAGCCCGGCTCGGCCCGTTCCTGCTCCCCACACCAAGTCAGTGGTGCGCTTCGTCAGCCCGGCTCGGCCCGTTCCTGCTCCCCGCACCAAGTCAGTGGTGCGCTTCGTCAGCCCGGCTCGGCCCGCTCCTGCTCCCTGCACCAAGTCAGTGGTGCGTTTCGTCAGCCCGGCTCGGCCCGCTCCTGCTCCCCGCACCAAGTCAGTGGTGCGCTTCGTCAGCCCGGCTCGGCCCGTTCCTGCTCCCCGCACCAAGACAGTGGTGCGCTTCGTCAGCCCGGCTCGGCCCGCTCCTGCTCCCTGCACCAAGTCAGTGGTGCGTTTCGTCAGCCCGGCTCGGCCCGCTCCTGCTCCCCGCACCAAGTCAGTGGTGCGCTTCGTCAGCCCGGCTCGGCCCGTTCCTGCTCCCCGCACCAAGTCAGTGGTGCGCTTCGTCAGCCCGGTCCGGCCCGTTCCTGCTCCCCGCACCAAGTCAGTGGTGCGCTTCATCAGCCCGGTCCGGCCCGCTCCTGCTCCCCGCACCAAGCCAGTGGTGTGCGTCGTCAGTCCGGCACAGCCCGTGCCTGTTCCACCGGTGCCTGGTTCGGCACGGGTCAGCTGCTTCACGCCGGAGCTAGAGCAATCCGCTCCACCAGTGTGCAGTCCGGTCAGCAGGGCCAGACCGGACCAAGGGTACTTTGGGGGGATAGAGAGGGAGTGGGGATCATGCCCGGAGCCGGATCCGCCGCCAAGGCGGAGTGCCCACCCGGTCCCTCCCCTGTGGTATTTTGTTGGCACGGTCGGAGTTCGCCCTGGCTCTGGGGAGGCTTGTATGTTGAGCCAGGGTGTGAGTGTTCTTTGTTTTTCTAGTTCATGTATGTCTATGTTGGCCAGAGTGGTTCTCAATCAGAGGCAACGAGTGTCAGCTGTTGCTGGTTGTCTCTGATTGGGAACCATATTTAGACAGGCTGTGTTCCCACAGTGTTTGTGGGATCTTGTTCCAGTGTGGTTTGTGTTAGACCGAGGACGTCACGTTATCGTTTGTTGTTTTTGTTCGTGTAATCATTTAAAAAAAAGTATGTTCGCCTTCAACGCTGCGCCTTGGTCCTCTGTATCCGACGATCGTGACAAATCTGCAGACTAACCTGGCTTTGTTGAAATTGTAAATAAAGTCAATCTCGATTCTACAAAAAACTCTGGAAGAACTTTGATTTTTAATAAAGTATAGTGATTATTTTCCACAACAGTAAGCCCTCTTGGGGCATTTAAGACAGGCAGCGCTGTCTCCCAGGCTTTGTGCCACCCCCAAGACCACAGCCAATTGCATGCAAACAACAACGCAGCTAAGTACAGCCTCATTTTAAACTGATACTACTCCCTAACCGTAACCTTTCTTCACCTTGGACCTTAGTGGGGAAGCTGACGCTGTATAGTTGTGTGATGACCAATCAAGGCTCGCTATAGCTTTCAGCCGTGCCGGATGGGCTGTTGAAACTAGCATTACCTAGCATGCGGTGGGCTTGCTAAACACCACATTGTGATCAGCTGTTGGCGATCAAGCGTTCATTGCCTCTAATGGAAACGTCTGTTAGAGCGCTATTTTAGACACTCTTATATGCAGCCTTATTCTAGTAATCTATGGGGTCTATTTCTCTCATTAACAGGTCATCATTTATTCTTCCCTCATGGCTTACTGGCATATACCTTTAGACATAAGCCTTCCGCTCAGGTAGACTACATCGTAGGTCTAGGTTTTAGATTATCATGTCACTCTCACTGTGCACGCTGTGCATGCTGCAGATGCGTCAGCTACTGCTGAGAAGTATCAGTAGGACTTAAGGCAATTTAGATAGCTACGTAACCACCTGTACTTACGTTTAGTTGCGGTTTGGGGGGGTTGTTAGTTTATTGAGTGTTGTTTTATGCTATGTGTGTATTTCATGGCTGAGCTGTGCCGTTCTGCAACAGCCTACCGTCTGCTATTCTCTCCGTATAATGTCTTCTGTTTATATAACCATGTACAGTGCCTTCAGAAGGTATTAATACCATTTGACTTATTCCAGATTTTGTTGTGTTACAGCCAAAATTCAAAATGGATGAAAAAATAATAATTCTCACCCATATACACACAATATCAATGATACAGTGAGGGAAAAAAGTATTTGATCCCCTGCTGATTTTGTACGTTTGCCCACTGACAAAGAAATGGTCAGTCTATAATTTTAATGGTAGGTTTATTTAAACAGTGAGAGACAGAATACCACAGAAGCAATCAATCAATCAGATTCCAAACTCTCCACCATGGCCAAGACCAAAGAGCTCTCCAAGGATGTCAGGGGCAAGATTGTAGACCTAAACAAGGCTGGAATGGGCTACAAGACCATCGCCAAGCAACTTGGTGAGAAGGTGACAACAGTTGGTACGATTATTCGCAAATGGAAGAAACACAAAATAACTGTCAATCTCCCTCGGCCTGGGGCTCCATGCAAGATCTCACCTCGTGGAGTTGCAATGATCATGAGAACGGTGAGGAATCAGCCCAGAACTACACGGGAGGATCTTGTCAATGATCTCAAGGCAGCTGGGACCATAGTCACCAAGAAAACAATTGGTAACACACTACGCCGTGAAGGACTGAAATCCTGCAGCGCCAGCAAGGTCCCCCTGCTCAAGAAAGCACATATACATGCCCGTCTGAAGTTTGCCAATGAACATCTGAATGATTCAGAGAAGAACTGGGTGAAAGTGTTGTGGTCAGATGAGACCTAAATGGAGCTCTTTGGCATCAACTCAACTCGCCGTGTTTGGAGGAGGAGGAATGCTGCCTATGACCCCAAGAACACCATCCCCACCGTCAAACATGGAGGTGGAAACATTATGCTTTGGGGGTGTTTTTCTGCTAAGGGGACAGGACAACTTCACCGCATCAAAGGGACGATGGACGGGGCCATGTACCGTCAAATCTTGGGTGAGAACCTCCTTCCCTCAGCCAGGGCATTGAAAATGGGTTGTGAGTGGGTATTCCAGCATGACAATGACCCAAAACACATGGCCAAGGCTACAAAGGAGTGGCTCAAGAAGAAGCACATTAAGGTCCCGGAGTGGCCTAGCCAGTCTCTAGACCTTAATCCCACAGAAAATCTGTGGAGGGTGCTGAAGGTTCGAGTTGCCAAACGTCAGCCTCGAAACC